AAAGAAATAACAGCATTCTTATGTGGGGGCCATTACATGCTTTAAAAATATTCTACATAGCAAATGATGTTAGCTAAGGTTAATGTAAATATCTCGTATTACACCAATGCGCTGGTATTTGAACCAAACTTAGCATTAGGCTAATATACCTTTCAACAAATCATAAAGTAAAGCATGCATGACAATAGGTAAAAGTGGAATCTCAGCAGCAGCATTTTTGACCACACACCAATTTCCACTTCCCATGAAAAAAAGTCCTTGTTAAGGATATTTTTAATCTACTCAGAGTAGAGTCAGGGTATATTAAATTTTAATGATGGGCCTACAGATCTAGACTTAGAAAACAGTGCATACTAATGTTCCTGAACTAATAGTACTTTAGACCAGGGGTGGCAAACCTTTATTATCTTTAACTTCTGATTCAGATGCGCCACTTAAAATTACAAGTTTCAGTCCTATAAAGTATGGTCATTTGTACATACTTGATTTGTTAAACACATTTGTGTATAGAAGAGGATGGGATTTAAGAAAAAATACAAACCTAACTTTGTAAGTCTGTCTTTGTTGAGTTAACATTTTTAGATTACATTTCTAATTTAAATTTACTATTTCTGTATGACCTAAAGACCAATTATAATTTATGAACACTGCTGCAGCTTTAATTAATTACAGTTCCAGTAGCTCTACCAGTCATTGACGGCTAAGTTTACTTTATTTAACTGATGATTTCTTAGACATGAATTTGCTTCCTTAAATATGCCTGACCATCTATTTTTTTCCTTACAGTGACTTAAATTGAATCTGTAATCATTGTTTCTAATAACAAAAAGCTTAAATAGGTAAAATAAAAATGATCAAGGCTAATGAACAGAAAGAGCATACATTTTCATAGGAAAGTAAATTCAAAGCAAACAATTACATTGATCTAATATTTTTTTGGTGAGATTAGTTTTATAAACATTTTGGTCAATTTGGGCATTAGGCATTCTTTTTTTAACTGTTTTTTTTTGTTTAGAAAATGTCTATGTTTAATAGGAGGCTCTTATGCAGCATTTAGCTACTTTAAAAAAAATCAGCATGTGGGTATCCAACCCTTGCTAACATTATTTTAGGGCTCTTTAATGCATTCAATGCAAAATAGTTAGGCAGCTTTAGCTGATTGTTTTTTACATTTTTAATTATCTTCTAAAAAAATATTACCTACAGTGGTAAGGGAGAGCAATCTATTGACACCATCTGCTACGAACATTAACTAACTGGACGACAAAAAAAGACAGAAGAAAAATGAGGGGTGTTAACAGTTGCTCATGGAACAGCTGGCTTATTTCAAACATGGTTGTGAGAAACTACCAGCATATAGATTAAAGTAATGAAGGAAAATTATTTTTTTTATGATTAGAAAGGGGGGGGTGGACAATTTATATAATTAACTACACCCATCCACACAGAAGTAGCTAACTAACACGAAAGAAAGTTTATTTTAGTTTAAAGTGGATAATGCAATGTAATAAAAAAAAAAAACATATACAACAAGAGAACGGCTTTTTTTTTAATGCTTTAGCACCCTTAGTATGCTAAGGTCCAAACTCTTTTGTGGACCAGGTGCTCAGTAAACTTAGATCAAGTCAGGTCTCTAGCTCCAGCTCCCAGCCAAGCATTATTCAAATGATTTAAAAGAATCTATTTCAGCCAGCATGCTAAAATCAGATGTGCTAAATCAATAAGCCAAGAGTAAGAAACTGTCACCACCTAGTTAACCAATAATTAATAAAACACTTTATGTGCTCTCTGAGCAAAGAACGGCTAGATAAATTAGCCAGAAAAACAATGGCTTGATACGGGTTGTCAGTAATTTATAAGATTAAAAAAAGATTTTTTAAAAAGATGGAAAAAGTGAAATATTAGGTACAAAGGGAGTCTGGGCTCAACATAATCACAAACTACATTGACTAGCCACCTATTAAAATTTTAGAACTGCAAGGTAAGAATAGGTTTCACCTAGCAATTTTCAGTCAACTTATTATTTCATTTGCTTGAAAGAGAGAAAAAAAAAGCAGAACTATCCATATGAAAAAAAAAAGTGTTAAAAAAAATGTAATGAAAATGAGGTACCAGCCCCATAAAACCCTGGGACCCTAAGTAAACAAAGCCATTTACACACTTCACCTTTACAGCATTGTGTCAGCTATTTTAAGCCCTTTTATCTTTATCTATAGCAGTAATGTTAACAGCCTCTTAACATGTTTTATATTTGGATTTAGTAGATAAAAAAAGAGTGTCTGACGTCAATCAACACCATACAAACATAGCTATTAGAAGTTATGTTAAAAACACTTAAACATTATTTTTTTTTTTTTTAATGTCTTGTGATTAAAACTGAAATACTTGTGAGATTCTAAAGATGACTAAAAACATTTTGACAAAAAGATGACAAAAAAAAAATATTACAATGAATCAAGAAAAAGGGGGTGGGGGGTTTCAAGTGGTTAAGTGCTTGGCTTCTGAACAAAACACTCTTACAGTGAAGACTAGGATTCTGAGCTTCACGATTTTTAAGATGCCCCTGAGTCCAACCCCAAAAAATGAGTACACCTGATATACGCTGGGGAAGCAAAGATGGTTGGCCATTGTGCTGGTCACATGACACCATTGTTAACCATTGGCCATAGAAACAGAAAATCTTTTCCCATAGTTTGCAGGTCTGAAAGGGGTACCCTTTTTTTTAACAAGAATAGTTAAAAGTCCAAGTTATTTTTAAGTGCCACTCAAGTATGGAGCAGATTTTTAAAAAACTAGTCACGAAATGTTGAATCATTTTTTTGTCAACAAAATTGAGATAACATCCAGCCTACTGAAACAAGAGCACAACTATTGAAGACCTTTAATATGATACTGAATTATCATTTTGTTGATACTTTTTCTAATGACATACAATTATGAACAATTAGGTCCACAAACAGGAGTTTTTAAAGTCTCTTCAATCTAAAATTCTTAAAAAGATTGTCACATGTAAGTAAGTAAAAAAAAGTAATGTTCCCCTTTCAGACCTTGTGGTCTATAGGGCAGATGATGTAAGGTCATCTGATTTTGTGGCATACGGTTAACGAGAGTGTCATGTGGCCAGCACAACGACCAACTGCCTTTACTTTTCCCCACCTAATGTCAAGTACCCATTAGAGCTGGTTGGACTCAGAGGCGCCCAAGGATACCGAATTAAAAATCCCAGTATTTACCAGGATTCGAACCCAGGACCCCTCGGTTCAGAAGCCAAGCACTTTACCGCTCAGCCACCGCACCTCCTGTCCCATGTAAGTGACAGTTTGCAAAGTTGTTTTTTTTTTTAAGTGTTATTCAGATACCAAAATTTTCGGCACATTTAAGACATTTAATCTTCAAAGTGAATGTGAAAATCTTCCATGTCTTATATAAAGCAAATGCCATACTTGACACGAACATGGTATGAGACTTTGGTGCAAAATCCTCAACAGAATGAACTTCTTTTAGCGCACCAAGTTGTTATGCAACTCAAGATTAACATTCTAACGTTGCCTTATAAAAAAAATGCAGAGTGTGAATATGAAAGATTAATGGCTTGACTTGTATGTGACAACATGTATTTTGAAAGCAAAACATTTTTTTAAGTAAATAATGAGCCTGAGACCATAATGTAAGATTTAACTAATCTTGTGTATGTGCCTCAAATGTAATTAATTTTACCTATCAGCATGCCCAGGATCTGTACCAAAGTGTCATAATTTTGGATTTAACATTAGGGATATTCAGGACATTTTTACAAGGAGAGCTTCTGCATATATAGCAGCAGTTCACAAACTTTTTCCCTTCTGGGACCCCAGTAAAGCCGGATTTGTCTGCCCAAATTTTAATAGTATAGCCACAGGCATTAAGTTTAATCTTCTTTATCTGAAGTCAACTTTATAAAATAAATCATTGGTTGTAATCATATAATAGCATATTAACTGCTGACAGCAAATAATAGGAAGTTACTAATCAGGGAACTTCTCTATTCTGATGATGCAGCTATTGTTGCTGACACTGCTATTCAGCATCAGACCCTGGTTGACTAACTATCTACTGCTTGCCAGAAGTTTGGCTTAAATATTAGTCAAAGCAAGATTAAAATACTAGCTCAGAACACAACCATTCCATCATATCCAACGATGTTCTACAGGATAGCCTGGCAATGGGCACCATGTCATCAATATGGGGATTCCATAAATAAAGAGTTTTTCATTTATTATAACACCTAGGCCTAAGTCCTAGGTATTTTGCATTTTTAGTCTGTGTTACTGGTTTACCATGAATAAGATAAAAATTGTAATTTATTTGTTTGAATTTTTTTGTTACACTTAATAGATGACATTTTCTGGGTGGAAAGACATGTTCCAATTTGATTCCCATTACTGTAATTCATCTAATTCTCTTTGAAAATGTGTGTATCTTGTGTTGTTTTTAACTACAGTGGGAAGCATGGGCGAAAGCCTAAGTACGCTTGAACTTGGCTTGGCTACCTATAGCAGAGTTGTCAGTTTACTGAGCGCCAAAAGGCAGTACGGAAAACCTTCTCCCAGAATGCCCAGATATACCCCCCACTGGTCCACAAATGAGTTTGTTAATTTGATACATGTGAATCTGAATGATTATATTATAATAATTTAAATAATATATTATTAATGATATTTAATTTAATATAATTTAATAAATTATAATAATGTGTTTAAATTTTTAAAAAAATTAAAATAACAAATCTTACCATACTGTCCTGATAGGGCATTTGAGATTGATGCCAAAGTGAAAGCCAGTAAAATACACGATAATAATCCCATTTCTTAGTCAACTATAATAACTATTGAACGTCCAATTAAGTGTAACTTGAGTATGTAGCTGTGTTACTCAGCTCAGGTACAATGACTTGAATGACCGTGTTGCCACTGTGTTGCACTTGATACTTGTCTTGTGTAGTGTAGTCACCTAGTCAGTGACAGTCACAGTGTCATCAGTGTGTTAGAAACTCAGAAACCTGTTAAACTTGAAATTATTCTGATTACCTTACACTAGCCTAGATGACTAGCAAAACTAAAACTCCGTTCGCAACCGAGTAAGCTACACTAGGTCTAAGCACATTTAGATTTATAGATCTACTAGTCGAACTAACAACCTAAATCTAGATCTATCTATAAATTAGACGAGTCTTGCTCAATGCTTATTCTATGGAAATATTGAGTAAAACACTATCGTCACTTCCTAAATCACTAAAGGTGTACATGCGCGTGCCAGATTGTAAGTTAATGAATTATTCGACTTTTCCTTTTCTTTGAAAAAAAAAAATCTAACAATGTTGTTAATTTTTTTTTAAAAATATCTAGATCTAGATTAAATGTGTAAACTAGTGTATTTTTAAATTGTAATTGAAGACCTTTTTTTCTGGTTGAAGTATTTTTCTCGGTGAGAAGAAAACTACGCAAGCGCAGCGTTTCTCAATTACGGGCAAAGCGCCGGGGTGGGTGGAATTTGTAAATTTCTTTTTTTTTTTTATAATAGATTTTAATGTTAATCTATCACTTGCCACAGCGCTGCAAGGGGGGGGGGGTAAAATCCCCCTACAGGGTATTTTAAGGTTACCCCCCTTTTTTTCAAATAAAAAAAAAATAAAGCAAACGACAATCACAAAATTCCATAAGCGTAGCTAAAAGGGGGGGGGGTGAGTTTATTTTAACCTCCCCCTTCTAGAATTTTTGACGTTAAAATAACCCTCTTCGGTACAAAAACTAAAACAAACGACAGTCACCGAATTCTTTAACCGTGGCCAAGAGAGGGTTTTGAGCTTAAAATACCCGTTTTTTTTTTACATACACGCAGGCCCTTATATACACACACACACACATACAAAAATTCACACACACACCCCCACTGGAAAACAATGCTGGCTACGCCTTTGGCCTGTTCTAACACTTGTTGATTATCAAACAAGAGAATGTTTGTTCACCGAGGTATGTGAAACCATATAATGTAAAAAAAAAATAAAAATAAAATAAGATTGCTTTGTTTGTAGAGATTTAATATGCACTTGCATAACATGTGAAAAGAACCCGTTGCAATAATATGTCGCTATTAAATATGAAGTCTTTCTTCAACTCTTCATTAGAAATATCAATAACAAAGTCACATTCAATGTCATAATTTCTTCATTGAGGTCCCATATTCTTCTCAACATCTCGCCCATGCTAATAAGCCAGCGGATCGATACTAGTACTCTGCAGTGCCTAACATCGAAATATGTTTTGTTTCCGAAACTGCCCGTGGTTATAATTAGACCCCTAGCCCTACTGATAAGGTGAATCAGAAGATTTGGTCCACAATATGTTTGATATTCCATACAGCTTTGTGCTAACTTTCCTGTGTAGAGTTTATGGTTGGGATATTGTTCTTTAATTTTTATTCACAAAATCTTTGTTTTATTTTTCAGCCAAACGCAAGCATCATCAGTTGTTCAAAGCCAACCCAACACTTTGAAAACAGTTCTTCTTAGCATTGAATAAATAGTGGCCTGAGTTAGCGTCTTTGACTGATAATTAAAAATATTGCCAATTATAATAATAAATCGTTTACTTTAAACTTTTTAGAATGACATGAATATAGACAATATTTCTTTAGCCACTACATCACAAGAATCGAAAGTTTCAATTATTGAAACAGGGAGATATTTTATTTTTATTTAATATGCATTATATATATATACTAGACATATGTTACCCGCGGGTCTTTATTTGCGCATTACTGTCGATATAGTCACTGAGTGTTTTGTAAACAATTAAACGAAATAATAATGTAATAAGTAAAGCGAATGTGTCAATGTAAAAATAGTGTGAATGAAGCTATCAATCAGAATAGCTAATAGGCTTAAATCCATTTGTTCAAATTAAAACATTTGCTTGTAAGCCTACATATATTTGATTAAAATTTGAGATGAATAGACTTAATTTTGTATGTTCATGTGTTACAGTATAAAGTAGATCTTGAGGTAGACAGATCTAAATCTACAATAATCTAGAGTTAAAAATTGGCTTTAATAGAGTTCATTCTGTGTTGCGCATGCGTGACCTTTTTTCATGAATGAATATAGGCTTACCTCAACACGGCTACGCAGCTTTATTTAGCGAACAGCGAACGAATGTATTAAAAATGCTTTAGAAAAACAAATTTGAATGTTAATTTGATTAAAATATGAAATGAATGGACAATAATTAGTATGTTTATGTGTTAAAGCATAAAACTATCTTTGCGAAAAGAAGTTTTATCATCTTCAATAAGAGTTTTAGACCTAGGCCTAGGAATAGACAGAATAGACAAAGTAGAGAGATGTGTTAATCACTGTTAATGAAATGTGTAACCATTTGGTAATGTCTAATGAAAGCCAGACATTACCCGCGGCCTGCGGGTCTAAGTTTGTGTTTACTAATCTAGTGGATTGGATTTAGAAGTATGTTAAACTTAACTAATGATCCTTTCAAGTTTTTTCTCTTTCGCTACGAAAATAAAATTAGGTTTGCGAAAATGGGATTACCCGAGGCGATACATTCATATCTATTAAAAACGAAAAGAGCGATAGCTTTGTTAAATGAATGGGATTATAAAGTGAACAATTAAACGAAATAATTTTTAGTACGCGATTCATGAATGAATATAGATCTAGGCCTATCTCAACTCGGCTTCGCAGCTTTCGTAAACGAATATAGCTTTAGATATATATATATATATATATGTATATATATATATTGTTACAAATGAACAGTGACAAGTAGAGGTCAACGTGTGACCCCAGCGAGATGACACAGCATCGAGTGTTCTTCGGAATCTACGCGTGTAAACAAAGACAGGATGTGACGTGCCCTCACATGTTGTTCCAGAGGGCGAACTGATCTACGAAGGGGGCAGTGTTACCAATGAACAGTGACAGTTAGAGGTCACTACGTGTGACCTCGGCGAGATGACACTGCAGCATATATATATTTTGTGAGCACACCTAATATTTGTGGGTGTCCGAGGGCCGCATAAAACCCTCTGGCGGGCCGCATGTGGCCCGCGTGTAATTTGCCCATTGCCCACCCTTGCTTTAAGCTTATTTTTTTTTTTTAAGAAATAGGAATTTATATTATCTTATCTTATAAAATACAGAAGTTACTTTTAAAATGAAGATGATTACGTCCTACGCGTCATGCATTTAATCATGCATTTTAACCAATGACTTAAATGAAGCAGACTCAGGCAAGGGGCCATATTCCATGCTCTAATAGCACTAGGGAAGAAGGAGCATTTTTTACAAATTTGTCATAGCACATGGAACGAGAAATGGCCTTTAATTATCTTTGTGTCTTTCAAAATATTACTAATCCCCTCATTTAATAAACAATCGTTGAACAACAATTAATAGGCTACTGTACGACGGCAGTCATGCATTGAGCCTGTAAATGTATCCCAGTAAATCTTGCCAAAGCTTTACAAAAGTTTCCACGAAAAAAAAGAGTATTTGAATGCAACTTTGCTATGCTTAAATCATAGGTACGATGATTTTGTTGAATTTGGATGTATAGATGTAGTAAATTATTATTTGTAACCTATATTTTGTGTTTGTTTGTGGAGCCCCCCCCCCCCCCCTTTTGAGGATTCTGAGGTGTAGGCCTACTGAATGGGGCAGTCTGTTCGGCAGTAAATCTGGCCCTGCCCACAAGGGGCACACGTACAGATGAAGAAAAGCTGATGATGCTAATCCACTTTATTATCCACTATACACTTAGTAACATTTACTAGACGACATGACACATAACGTACATTATTTATCACACGACCCTGTGAGAAAGACCATAAATAACCTAAAAATAGCTCGAAAGACAAAAGGGCGCAGGTACCAGATGGGTAGTCTAAAAAAAGATTTGGTCTAGGTCAATTTTATGACAAGAGCAGTGGCGTAGCCGAATGCAATAACAAGGAGCCAGGGCCGGCCTAATTAGGTGTAGTCAAACTAGGTAGTCGAATAGGGACTCCAATGTGTGCGTGGCTCGCCACTTTTAGCAGCATTAACTTTGGATGGTCAGATTGAAGAAGATACGACTAACATTTAATCAAGTGGTCACAGTAGTCAGATGACTTTGGAAGTTGTCAACAAATTGGCAGGGGTAAGTCATGGGCAATGTGACAGAAGACGCAGGCTAGGTTTAAGATTGACAAAGACGGTCGATAGACCATGAGTGATGCCCCAACTGTTCAACACGTGTAAAAACGATGACGCAAGAATGCCTAAACAGTCTGGCAATTATATCTATTGAGTGAGATTCTTCAAACACAAAAACAAAATTTAATAAAATACTCAGAAAGACACAAAGATAAAGACACATTCTTCGTCCCATATGCTAGGACAAATTTGTACAAATACTCCTTCTTCCCTAGTGCTATTAGAGCATGGAATGGATTGCCTGAGCTAGCCAGGAAAACCAGTGACTTGGCAGAATTTAAGTCATTGGTTAATATGCATGACTAAATGCATGACGCGTAGGACGTAATCTTCTTCGTTTTTTGAAGTAACGTCTGTATTTTATAAGATAAGAGATATCGTCTATCTGGATTAGTCACAATTTATTCGAGACTTCAAATTGCTGCAATAAAATCACGAAAGTTTATTTTTGTTCAAGGTTTATGACATATGAGGTTCAAAAATGTTTAAGAAGCTTACGGGACATTATCATTGCGGTTTATGAAGTTTTATTTCTTGATTTAGATGGAGATCATACAGATGTAATTTTATTTCTTGTTTTACTTTTACATTTTATTCGCCTCGCATAGGGCCTCCAATTACATATAAGGCGCCGGCTGATACTGATAGAGCACATAAATTTATGGGATCATTAACCCTGCTGTGGCCCACGGTTAACAAGGGCGTCGTGTGGCCAACAAAACAACCAATCTTCTTAACGTTTCCCAAACTATTGTCAGGTAAGTCGACCCGACAAAAATGCGCTGACAAAATAGAGCGAAATTTACCGACTAAATAGCGCGGACTTATATAGGCCTATATGATGTGTACAAAAGTACTGGATTTTAGTCAGTGAAGGTCCTGAACAGCATTTTTCGTTTAAGCCTCTATCTTCTTCGATATTAATAGATCCAAAAGTATGCCATATTTGCAGAGGAAAAGAGTACTTTAAAATTTTATCTCATTTTCCTTT